ATGTTTTGAATGCCATATATAATGTATATTGCATACCTTATTTTAAACTAATAAATAATATTAATTAGTTGATATATTATAGAATATAATATATATCAAAGATTTCTGTTTGAAATGCCTGAAGTATTTGGTACTATGGCCTTTGCAACCATCATCTTGACAATCTCTCAAGGTTGGACCGGGGCGCCGGGAACTTTTACATCAACAAGGTCGATAAGCAACACATTGCGCTCTTGAACATGCAGCACGATGAGACTCTGAAGGCTTGACATGCACGGGTACCCGCTGTCATTGAGGAGTATTATTTTATACAATGGAATTTAGTCTTAGTACTACTAGTGATTGTACATCGTGATTTTTGGCGATCCCAAAAGAATTTTCAAACGTGAACCATTGAATTGCTCAGATCACAAAACCTTATTTACACAAATAATCTGCACGAGTGCATGTCACTGTCTGCCCCGCTGCAGACCAACGAGAAGCAATCTGGAGTCTCCATCACGTGGACTGGCAGAGGTTTGCCAGCAGCGCATGGTCCTGAGCCATGAGTCAGTGCAGTCATGTTGAAAGCTGATTCGTATCACAAGGTACCACTTTGACCCACTTGTGTTGTGAACCAAGTTGAGTATTTTTCATGGAGAAATGAGGATAGTTGATCATGATACCAAACCAACCTGAACAAAGTCATCAAATAACGGACGGTGTCACATTAGGACATGCCCAACTTCAACTGTTTCAGGGTAAACCTAGTTTTGCCAAACATACTGACCTGAATGACTTTTATTTGTGATTCCAAGGTGGGTTTTGGCAATCAAGGCGGCTGGTTGGGTCCCAGTGAAGGCAGATGTGCCTGTGCACGAAGACTAGCAATCCAATCATGATCAATCAAGTAGGTCTGAGCTTGAAAGTTATGCAATGTGTTTTCTAGAAATCAGTGAATTCTCTTCATAGCCACGGTATTTGAACACGGGCAAACCATCATGATTGAATCCGTGCAGTTCTTGTCCTGTCAGTGGACTTTACCCCAAAAAATGTTTGAAACACTTCCGCATGCCAAAGCTCAGTGTTCGCACCAGTGCTGGGCATAGGGCGTAGGGTCCTCGGTTGGTGGCTGTGCAGCAGCGATTTTGACCCTAAAACTGGTGGGTGCTGGGTTGTGTGATGGAATATGTGTACAATATTATTATTATTTATATAGACTACACTGTATTAATTTGTTTACATAATCATGATGATTTTGCGAGCGCCAAGCTGCCTTGACATCCCATCTACCTGCTAGCTGCTTTGATTTTGAAACTCTAAGACGGGACAATTAACCATCGTCGTGCGTGCTTCATGATTGTCGCGATTGTGTCATGTGATATCTCAATCAACATTGCACTACTGCACCCGGAAGTTTGGTTCAACATATTTTAGGCATTTTAGCCATGGCGGGCCCCCGAAAAGCATCATGGATGAAATCACCCTTGGCACTCACCACGAGAGCAGCGGCAACGATTTGTGCACTTGGTGGACCAATCCTACTGTAGCTCGGTTATATTGTGTTGTCAGCACTGGTGCCTCGTTTGCTTCTACTCAACTTCAAACTTGACAATCACATCACGCATCCCATGTGCCAAAGCCCTGCCCCCTGTCTGACCCAGGCTCCACATCTGTGATTATGTTGCACAGATAACAGATCCGAGCTCCCCGAATGCCAAGAGAGTCGGCTCCTCAGTGCGCCAGATCAGCAGCCAAGATGTCACCACACCGAAAAAATGTATTTCAAACCCATGTCAATCATATGACTTGATCTTCAGCTGATAGTGGATATATCATGTTCGCTATGGCAACCCCTCGATCTCAGATATAATATATATCATGATTTATATGGTATATTAATGTATATTATATTATAGACTTGAGACCTGACATGACCTCATGTCCATAATGTAGCCTACTAAGGACATTGCAGCCATCGATATTTTCAGTGGACAAGCATCGGTATCGCATGCCTATCGTCAGGAAACCGAGTTTACCCAAGCGATTGGAATCAGTTATGTAGGCATTTTTCTTTGCAAGTTTCATCTCGGGCACATTGGTCATGCATGCATGTCGGTGTCTGCAGCGTTCGGCGTTCGTCTCCCAGGTGACAAGGATTTCAAGGCGTCGTTTCCTCAGGTCAACAACGTGATGTGGCAGCTTTCACAACTGCCACTAAGATTAAGAGAATGAACACCAGGAGAGCAACACCAATTGAAACCTATTTTTTTAATATAGCATCGTTGACAAATTGTTTATTATTTGTTGATATAAATCATGATGTTATATCAAAGTTTTTATTCTGGAAAATGTCCAACCAAACGAATGGAGGATTATGATCCATGTTAAAAATTCACTTGATTTTGGTGGTTTTGGGTAATGAAGAAGTTCCAGTACTGGCTTTTAATTCTCATCTCATTGTTTCACCCTTGGGTCAGATCATTGGAATGTCAGTGGATCACTTGGGGTTTCAACAAGTGACACAATATTATCAGACATGTGTATATATTGATGACTGGCCTCTCGGCTAAGCCTGAACTATGACATCGAGCAGCGACCCATGTTGGATGACATTCTGACACTGCCGGGTTCCCAGACCTAGGGTGTTTGACTTATTTATATATACTGATCAATAAATCTGACGGGTATCCCATCCGGAATCCATAGCATCTTATCTGAAAATGCTTTGACTTTATAATTTTTGATGTTGACTTCAAGAATTGCATAACATTTATTTTACATAACATCCATAATATGACATGTCTTTAATTGTCAAATCTTCGATTAGTTCGTGACCTTGTCCATTTTGCTGGTCGGTCAGGATTCCTTGGGGTGCACTTGTGTGTTAGCCATTTTCTGAAAGTTTGTTTTGAAATAAACCATGTCAACTTGAGAGATGACGCTATCCAAACTTATGGACCATGAAAAAAACAGGGAACTAGTCAAACCAATTCTGGCGTCAAAAGCCTTTGAAAATCAGATTCGGCAATTTATGGTTCAGTTTGTGAAAACAAAAATTACACATTGAATATGTGATTGAGCTTTTGCGATTGTCCAAGGCAAGGGTTTTTGCGCTTGGTGCAAATGGCACTTCGGGTGGTGGAGGACGGGGTGGCCCACGGAGGGCCACCGTGCTCGTCTTTCATTTGGTTGAACCGTGGGACGAGCAAACGATCGGCAGCACGTCCCATGGGAGACCAACTGGAGCCCACAGTCGCTCATGGCAACCAGAACCATGAATAAATCAGAATTATATTTTTCATGCAACATCATCCTAACTCAAATTGCAAAGTAATCTCATTATTGTTGTTTTTGTGGCCCAGCCCCATCAACATTGCTACCTTGAATCTGGAAACTAAGGATCATGGCTCGTTGGGCCTTGATTTGCATTCTTTGTATTGCAAGGTGTGTCTTCACGATTTCTGAGCAACCACGATCATCGATCATGAAGGCTGTAAAGTATTTCAAGCACCTGTCCCGGGTTCTACGCCAAATCATTCCGTGGTATGTTGTCAACTAGCCTGGTGCTTAAATCTGAAGATGGGCACATTATCGTGAAGATTGATCTATATCGATACTTTGTTAACCATTAATTGCTATGTGATGTGGCTTTATTGCATTGCGAATCAACAACTGCGTTTTATTCCAAACTTGCCCTAGCTGAGCTGAGTTGGATGGGCACATGGGGCCATTCGAGACCCAAACCGTCCACAAACTTTGGTACTGCGTTGGGGCCTTGTGCGTGAGAGTGATCATGATGGTTGATTTTGTGTACTGAATTTTATTTGTAAGTTTGGCTGCGGAGCAGTTCCACCAAACATATCATATGATGTTTTCACCCGGCTCCTAGGCCATTTCTTCCCGGACTGTACAAAAAGATGACCAAGAAGAAGCAAGCCCAATTGCGCAAATTGGCATCTGGAAAAATGGTGATTCGCTACCGTGATAGTAAGGGACGAAGCCGAGTGTCCCAGCCCAAGTCACTGTAGGAGGTGAATTTTCACAAAGCCACCAGCATCAGTACAGTACTGACCGTTGATCGCCAACTGTTCCCGGGGTAACACCAGCAAGATCCTGCTCAGGAAAGGTGGACCGAAACTGAAGCAGTCACAGGTATATCCTCGAGGATATGGCCGTCGCATCCAAAAGTTACACAGCGAATGGCTGGATACTTGTTTTAAAAATCACTGACACCAGCATATGCATGCATATTTAATTGCCATGGAGTCAATGATCACGCACAAACCATTGAAACGCCTAGCTAGGGCATAAAGATTTTTAACCCTTATATTATTATAGCGAAGGCTAGTCTGTTTTGACATCTCAGGTTTCCCATGCTGGCGATCTTCGACGTAACCTTTATGGAGATGATCTGGCCACGTTTGATCTTGTCCACGGGGCTCTAGACAAGGTCAGTTTTTTAATTTAGGAACAGTTCAAGTTGACATCTGAATGTGAATGGTCCATGATAGTTCACTTCGAAGCCAAACTTTCAATATCACATGAAATGGCAAAGTGATCAAAGCTTTTGGACATGCCATGACACAAAGGTTGAAACTTCCTATAGATTCTATCTTCTACGAAATTCTCACATCATTTTTCCCACTTCAAGCCTGCCTGACGTGACCCCAGTTTGCATCAGAAGCTTGACAGACTGCGCGACCTGCAGGCCAAGTCACTGCAGTGGTGGTCAGCAGCAAAGCTGGGAGATGTACAAAGCTTCCTCAGGTCCGAGAGAGACGCTGGACGTTATCGGCCGGTGCTGACCATGGGACTTGACTAAGTTGAACCATGGATGCCCCAAAAAGTATCCATGAATGAGCTTTTGACAAATTAGATGGATCCACACAGTTTGGGTGGGTTTAAACATGTTTGGACCACCAAAATGATCAAAGGATGTTACCTACAAGCTGTTTCTTCCCATCGGGTTTGACACGTGGCTCACCCATCTGTGTGATACACATACTTTGCAAAATGTATCAAAATTTCCTGCAATGAATGATTCATGGTATGTCCAAGATCATCAGACAAATCAGCGCTGAAAAAAACAATTTTGATCCAATTTGGATCATACCGGGTGCGTGGTTTTGGCGTGGTTTTGGCGTGGTAATCCTAAACTTTGCCGTGGAAATCCCAAACTTTGCCGTGGAAAACCCAAACTTTGCCGTGGTCTCAAAACCCCCAGTTTTCGGGTGATTTTGGTTTAGTTGTGAAAAGGGAATAAAAAACAGGAATTGATCTGGAAAATTGTGGAATGAAATCAAATTGTATTCCAACAAACCATTGCTTCAGGGATTGGTTTGCTTTTGTGGGAGCTTTATGTGTTTTGTGGGGATTGAACGCAGTGGCTCCAGTAATGTTCATGTTGCATCTGATTAGATCACAAGGTATGATGGGAAACATGACGAAAGCACGCGATGGATAACACAGCTAGTCAACACACTTCTCTTCGCACATCCTCTCATTATATTTTCTCCAATCCCAGGATAATCTCAGAACTGTGCAATATTTTTTATCATGAAAGAAAGTTTGGGTACTTCCGGATTTCGACCCATTTTGGGGGTGTTTCTGCTTTGCCCTCCATGGACGAAGCAAAGAAGCTCTTAGATGCTGCCAGAGAGCGGGACCAGCGCGTCAAGGCGAAGCTGGCATCACAACATCCTCAGCCGGAAGGCAGGACCGGTCGACCATTTTCCTGTCACACATGTAAAAAATGCCCGTGGCATGTAGGTTATATATTATCATGCAAAACAACAAAATTCTATAATATTACTAACATTACTAGCGCATCAGGTATGTGCGATAGCCTTTTGCCATGTCGATGGTGTTTTCTCAAGTTCCTGATTGAATGAGAACGGTATTGTTTTGGAAACCCATCATCAGTGATAACCATGCATGCATTCATAATGTGACAATGACCCTTCTCTTCAGTTTCTGACAAATCAACCACCTCACAGGCCCACAGAAGAAACGTCAGACCGCAGCAAAAGCACCTGCAGCAGCAGAGAGTCCAACCAGTGAGGCTTCAACTGTTCCAGGAACAGATGAACAAGCCAGAGCCATGGCAATCCAGAAGTACCAGCAAGCACAAAGAGAAGAATCTGCAAGGCAGCTCCAAGAGCAACAGCAAAAAGAAGCACAGCCGAAAAGGTTGCCAGCCACACCCTGCCTGCGTCGAGTGATGTCAATGTCAATTTTGCAGCAGCCTGCATCAGGGACACAATCACCAAACGAACCCATGGACACCAGAACAAATGACAACAACAACTCGCAGGCAGCACAGGCAAAGAGTGCAAGCACCACCAAGCAACAGAAGAAGATCCAGAAGAAAAACAAACAACAGAAGAAGAAGAAGAATGCTTGCAAGAAAGGAAACGGAAACACACCACAACAGCAGCTGACAGTGCAAGCACCACCAGCAAACACGCCCGAACAACAGGCCAACAAATCTCTTGACCCACATGACCAAGGACAAAAACAAGTTCAGCCTGAGCAGACTGTTAAACAGCAAGAACCTACCACAGTCGCACCAGACCCTCCACTAGCACCACCCTCCCCTGCACAGAGTGAGCAAGCCAAAGCACACTCTCAGGCACAAGCAACTGCAGTCAAGGCCATGCTGAACAGAGCCCAGACCGCCGACCTGGGTCATTCAGCCCCGCCTGCACCCTCAGCTCCAGCCCTGCCTGCCCCAGCGACGCCGAGCAGCACGGCCACACCCATGCCCACCAGTGATCTAGCCAAAGATCCGTTGATGAAGAAGAAGAAGGGGACAGTTGTCCGTAACAAAGATGCCCACAATCGACGGATGAGATTTTACCGATCGTTGGAGAGTGTCTCGACTGTAATATATGTAGGGTATAGCTCATGAATATGAATTAATTAGCTAATGGCCATTGGTATCAAAACACGTGAGCAGTGGACCACCTTGATTTTAACATGATATATCCACATGCGGACTCAATGCAATGCTTGACAATAATGACAGACTCATGGGCAATCCATATCGATAATCTTGAATTCAACATATGACGTATGTCACATGATTTGTAGACATACGTGCCAAGAACTATTTTTTATCATATGACATGTCACACAGGAATCGTGTATATAGTAAAGTACAGAATATATCCTGCATGCATGGTTACTAATATGACACCCAATGCATCTCACTGCACACATTGCAAGCCCAGGCTCATCAAGCCCCGATGAAATCCAGGACATGGCCGAGAATGCCCGCACAGGACAGTGCCGCAGTCAGTGTGCCTGAGGGCAGGGAATCATTGAGCCCGCTGCATTTCATATCTTTATTATGGCTAGACCTGAATCCAGCTTCATGAGGTGTGTGTGTGTGGTATCATCAATAGGAACATGACCTTTTGGTTCCTGCATCACGTTGATGCAACACAGACTTGAGAAACATAATCTTTTGAACCTCGCTGAACCTAAGCTCAGTAGTTTCATCGAACCAGTCACCCATAACAAAATCATGGTGTTTATCTCCACTTAGAATAATCTGATATCAAAACCCTGTGTGTTGTGGTATCTTTATAGTAGTGCTGAGACTTTTGAAAATCAACTGGCTGGCAGTGTTTTTGATTGTTCCTTATGGTTCCGAGAAATTGGGAGACACCTAACCAGCAGTGCCTGCTACAGAAGTTGTACGCTCTCTCCAGTTTGGTCTCATGTTGGACAGGTCATATATTTAACTCAGGCCTCTTACGTATGCCAACTTTGGAAGTACTATATAATATAACTAACTATTAGCTTTTGAATTTCTATATACACTTTAAAGCTTTATGTTCACGTATGTGGTTCTTGTTTTGAAACTATATTATATTGCAACTCCATACAAACTTAACAGCTAGCAATCACACCTGATCAGGAGGAAATAAGAGGCAAAAATTGGCAGTGCTTTTTGAGGAGTGGGTAAATTGTAGCGAGGACTGGCCACAAAGCAGCTTCGTCATTCGCATGAAGCAGCGGACGACGGAGCGGCAGAAGGGTGGACGCAGATGGATGACAAAAGCTGACATAGTCAGTAAGTATGCGCCTGGACGGACTGAGTCAGAAGCTAAGTCCATAGCAGAGGAAATCGTTGCACATAAAGAGCAAACACCGGATGCAAAGCGTCCACATCCAGATGCGCCTCTCAACAGTGAGATGACCTTGTACCTAGTCTGGGATGAACAGTTCGAGTCGACGGAGCATGACTCAGTTGTGGAACAGTTGTTCCGCCAGAAAGATTCGTCTGCCAAAAAGGCTTCGAAAGGCAAAGGATCGAAAGAGTCAAAGAAAAGAAAGGCATCATCATCGCCAGAAAACTCAGAGGATTCAAGTGAAGACAGTGACCGGGATGATAGCAGCTCAAGCTCGAGCAGCACAAAGCGAAACAAGAAACAGCATGACAAGAAGAAGAAAAGAAAGAACACCAAGAATAAGAAAACAAAGAAAGGAAAGACAGCAAAGAAGGACAAGGGTAAGAAGAACAAGTCAGAAAGCGTCAGTGACGTGTCAGATTCAGAAGACAAAGACCCGGAGGCGGAAGAAAAGGAGAGAGAGAAGGCAGCTGAAAAGGAGAGAAAACGAGCAGAAGCAGAAGCCAAGAAAGAGGCAAAGCGAATTGAGACTGAACAGAAGAAAGCGGCAAACAAAGAGCAGAATCGAAAGAAAGGTTTGGTCAAGAAGGTTGGGTATGGGGTCACTTATCACTAGCCATGCATAATATTCCAAAAATCAATATTAACATTGTATTATATGATATGATATTCTAAAAATGAAAATTGATCCTGGCTGTCTTTTCATGGTAATTATATCTTCTTTTTCAGGATGTTTTCGTTTTCAACATATCACGGGTACATTGACATCTCACAAGCTGTCTTCTGACAGGAGGTGGCAGCTTTGGATGCTGCTATTGGGGATTCTTCACGCCGGGAGGCAAACGCATCGACATTGTTCCTTGTCCAAATCAAACCAGCTAAAGCCAATCTAACCAAGTAATCACAAAAACCATATCATGCGCTAATAGATTTGTCAGTAAAAAAGCATCTTAATTTAGATTCTATAAACCATTCTTGGTTACACGAATTCAAATCGTGGTGGTGCATGTGCCCTTTAAGATGTTCATCTAATGTAGCTCCCAGTCATATCAGATCTTCACTTGGATCACGTGGATCATGGTGATGGGAATAAAAATATATGGAAGACCCGGGACATGCTTTAGAACTCTTAAGCTAGCCACTAAGACTTGTTTTATCTGATCATGATGTCCAAATATCTCTGCACTAGCTAGGTTGCCGTTTGTTTGTCACCTGCCCTCCAAGGTCTGTGAATCTCCGAGATGCAGTCATTCAAGATCTGCAGGCACATCGGAACAAGTTGATGACCAAGCGTGGAGAGCTTCAGGCTGCCTTGGATTTTGGCAAGGCTGGGTCAGGAATGGGGGTTTCCTGCAAAATAGTGATCCCTGTTCTGTTATATTATTTTGTATTATATTATATATTATATTATATAATATTATATTATATTGTATTATATTATTATATTATATTACATTATATATTTTTTATATTATATAATATAATAATATTATATAATATTTTATTATCTTATATTATATTATATTATATTATATTATATTATATATATTATCTCATATTTTATTATATTATATATTATGTCATATTATATTACATTATATTATGTCATATTATATTATATTATATTATATTGTATTTTATTACTATTTTTGTATAGTACCACATGAACGGATTTTGCAGACACTTGCGGGGTAAAAATCAAGTCCAACCGAACTTGTTTGGGTTGGACTTGATTTATGAGCCAATTTTTGGGCTGTGGTTGGGCCATCTGGAGCCACAATTTGGCCGATGTTAGGGGCAAGTAGGGATCACATGAACGGATTTTGAAGACACTTGATACTATATTATACTGTACTATACTATTTCTATTCATATTATTTATATTATAAAATATATTATATTTCATATTATTTTTATACTAGGTGATAAACTTCCGAAGTTTCAGAAAACACTTGATTTTGTGGGAACTTATCTGTTGTATCATTTACCAAATCATGTGATGATCGTATCATGAAGTTTCCCAAAGTTTTTGGGTATCAGTTCACATGGTTGATGCTGTTGGTAGAACAAATCTTGTAATCATGCCCCAGAGCAATGCATGAAACCCATTGCACATGTTTTAATATTGCGTCAAGTGTCCATCAACTGACGCAAGAATTGCCCATCAAACAGAACTCCGCTCCTCAAATCCAATCTCCCTGACTGGTTTTTCGGGCCGTCGTGTTTACCCAATCCTCAGTGTGTTTGTTTGATCAAAGGTCCACTGGAAGGCACCGTTAACCCACAAATATTATATAGTTCTAAAACGAAACTTTGCCTGCTACCATGGTTGTTGACGGATCGCTGGATCGCTTTCAACAACGTGATTTTCCCTGATGCCTGTCAGAACTATGGAATGTAGTTTGGGATTGGTAGTTTGCAATGGGATTGAAAATCATAGGAAAACCAAAAAAACATTGGCTTATTTCAGCTAGATGTTTTAAACGGTTTGTTTCGTTAGCATTGATTTGATCCCAAATCCCACGATCTCAAGGTTTTCAAAGTGCGGTACCACCAGCATTGCAGCCGCAGAATCTTGCATCCATGGCCCATCATGTGCTTCATCAGGTCAGCGACATGGAGGACCTGGCTGCTCAGGCTAAGGCTTTGGTGACTGACTACAACCGCGCAAAGAAGGCTACGTCGTAGCTTCAAAGTTTGGAAACAGTCTTATCGTGTTCGATGATGGAGCCATCTTTTTGCTGACATTCGATGTCTGATGTTCCAGGGAAACTCTGAAAAAAGACACCGGTCTGTAGATAGAATCATTTTTATCCATTGAATTTTAATAAAACCATCAAATAAGATTTGGAAAGATGTTTCGCTGTTGCTGAGTTCGGCGTTCGTATCAAAATGTGTTTCCCATAATCCATTTCCTGCAAAATCTGCAGGGATTCGTGAGCTGGCTTTGATCCATAGACTGTGCTTTCAAGGGCAAAAACACCCACCTATGTCTGGATCATGGATAGGACTGTTCAGTATGCATGCATCATGTACTTCGCTGTTTGTTGAATGCTGGATATTGATATAATTAAACATTATTAATAATATGAAAAATACTTCATGATGACAAATGAGGTTTTCTTCGTTCACACGGTCCATCAGTGTTGGTCCCAATCTAGTTCATAGGATGGGTGATGGGGAAGTGAAGGCACTGCAGGTGAAGAGCAATTGCTCTGAGTGGACCGGTTGAACATGCGTGACTTCACGCGTGAACCATGGTGGTATGCACGGGCGAAAACCAAGCTGAAACGTTGCAGTTTCTCTTGTGATTGATGTAATATGTTTCTGTTGTTTCAAAATATTTTTCGGTTTATCATGGGATCAACCCAGTGAATTAAATTATGATAAAACACATGACAATCAATCGCCAAACTTAACCTGAATCAACACTCGAAATCTGTGTTGTTCCTGCTGGGTTTGCCATCAAATATTTTCTAAATTTCAAATTTTATGTATCAGGAATTCTGAACGAATCCGAACATGCACACTCAATCCAACCATTTCACACCTTCCCCCGTCCCCCCGCAGGTGACGGTTTGGCCTTCGTTGCTCAATCTGCAATCGATGACGTCGCAGCTGGAGATCCTTGGCAAGCAATGGATGCAAGTGGCTGGACACCTTGGAACACCAGAGGACCAGCATGAAAAATAAATCTGCCATCAAGTACAGTACGCACCAGAAAAGAATTTAGTAAACATCAGTCGGTGTCATGAAGGGATAAACATAGCAAATACATGCAGGATATGAACACAGCTTAGCATTCGGGCAACATTTTTTGTGCCCTTATTTTGAAGCTATACATATTTCATTACAGTAGCTAATTGAATTTGGGGTTCTTACATTTGCCCATGCAAACATGATCCAAGGTTTCCAGTGTCAAGAGGGCCGTGAAGGGCGTGGATGCTCATGTGAAAGTATCTTGGCCTATGCATGCTCACATAACTGTTTTGTTAGAAAAAGGTCACCCAATGGAAAGACTGATGATGCATATCTTGATGGGCATATTGCCACCTTCACTCTGTCATCGTTAGGAGAGTGGAAGGAAATCTTCTCACCCTTGGACCCGTCGGCTGGGCTCATATTCTGGAAAGAATCCATCCCGAGACTTCTGGCGATTCTGTAGCATTCCGGTGGCTTCTCGGCCAGGAACACTGACTTAGCATGAAGATGGATTTTATTTTGAACTTTTGAACATGTTTGAACATAAGACACAATCAAGTACATCAAAGTCAGGAGAACCAATGAGGTCATCACTGTTGAATACTTGTTCTGATGATATCACAAATCTGGTTTCTCTTCAACAATTCATTTTGACTAAGCATGAATTTGTTCATGTCCCTGGGAAACAAGGAAAGTCAGAGACTCACAGTGCAGTTGAAGTCCAAAAAAAAACCGAAGGGGTTTGAGCTTCGAGAACTGGATGTATTAGACCCTCTTTCGGTATTGGACTACCTGTTCAACAAGATCAAGATATCCATCCCTGATGCATTGGTTCAACAGTACTGGTCTCATTACAGGTCTCCCGAGATTCAATCTCCGTGGGCCATGGACCACCCTGCTAGTGATCATCACATCCCCCTTGGATTGTATGGGGATGCGTGTCGCATCCGACCAGGGGAAAAAATGATTGGGATATTCTTAAGTTTGCCACTTTGGCGCCCACGATCCATCAGAAGCAGTCGATTTTTGCTGGCAGCTGTCAGGTAAGAACACATGTATCGCCGCAATACCCTTGATAGTATCTTCAGATACCTGGTTTGGAGGTTGAATTTGGCGTTTCAAGCCAAGTATCCATCTTGTAGCATCGACGGCGGTCCATTGCCACCTGGTCAAGCAGCCCGAGCAGGGCAAAACGTGGTTGAGGGAGGCAGAAAGTTTGCCATCACAGAGGTCCGTGGGGATTGGTGCTGGTTCAAAGACATTTTCTCATTCAAGTCGAGCTGGAAAGGAGGTTCTCAGTATCCCGTATGTTTCAAGTGTGAGGCACGGGTTCAGCAACCATTTCTTTACTATGATGTCAAGCCTGGCTCACCTTGCTGGCAATCCGAGCATGATTTGAGTGATTTTCTGCTGAATCAAATGCCCGAACAACCAAGTTGCTAAGCATGACTAGAGATGTTAAGTTTTTCAATTACCCCAAAGAAAAACCGTTTTTGTTGAATTTCTTCGGTTCTAGAATCAAAAATAATTATATACCTGTACTAATAAAGAATTACTCTACTACTTGCAAGTTATTTTGTTTTGGTGGGATAGGTTTTGAACCAGGCCCTTTGGCCCCAATTCTGAGGTCCATTGGTCGCACTGATCGGCTTCCATCCTGGACTTCTGCGTTGGTGCACTATGCACGTGCTAAACCTTGGCCTCCTTTACAGCACTAATGCCAGTGCGCTGATACTTGGCAACACGTGGATGTAACGTACCATGCCACACGCGACAGCAAATATATCTTGCGCTAGTTACAGAATTGTTTTGTTCATCTTTGTCATCGGTGATCTGATCATCAGCGTACTTAGTAACATTAGAAACCACGTGAAACACAAATGTCATGTCAGCATGCCGTGCATGCACTCATACTGCATATCTAGCTGAGGGTGATGCTCTGTGACGACAACTTTTGGCCCGGAAATACATTTGCGGAACAGCTTTCAAATGCCTATGATGACTTCCAAGCCTTCACGCAAACTCACAAAATAGCGCACTCACAAAAGTGCTTTACCCCTCGCTTGGTTGCTTGCATGCACGCACTGAGTACACAAGCTTAATAATGGGCTAGTACCTTATGTCTGTGGTTGAAAGGGTAGACATGGGTCTCAACCCCTAGTGATTGGTTGTCACGTAAGGTTGTGAAGAAAGATGGTTCACTGATGATGACTGCGAAAGCTTACAATGGCCGCTGTATCTTGGAGTGGCTCCATGATGCGATGGGGGGGGCCATTGCCAACCGATCTTTTTCTGATGAGAGAACGCCGCTGGCATACTTGTGCCTGACCCGTTGTTGCACTTACGACAATGCATGCATGGGTATTCAAAGTAGATTTGCGCATGCATTTCAAACTTACCACTGCTGTACTCTGCAATTTCAACCACTTTTGACATTGATTGTGTACCCGCATTTGTAAAGTCATCGGGTCAGATCCCCTGAGAGTCCCAGGGGTTTCCTTAGCACGTGATTTGATAGAAAGACTAGCCTGCGCTACAACATTCAACTAAAGTATCATGTCTGTTCGCGCTGGATAAGTGATATTTACAAGTTAATAAACTTCTAAGGCAGGTCCATCCTTTTGATGCTGAATTGAATTCTAGCCATTGTAAGTAAGTGCTGCAAGCCGTTTGAATCTCAATCAATGAGTTAAAACAATTGAACCAAGGAATGCAATGGCGAGAGTTTTTGGGATCATGGAAAGGGGTAAACGATTCCTGCCGGTGGCCTAATTTTGTTCCTCGCAAAGCAGTGATAACATTTTTACACACCCATTTCAAAAGCAAGAACGCGTCATGTTTGTTGATTTTCAGGTCACCTCAGCAAGCTCAAGATTTCCATGCTGCAGCGCAGACTTACATTGATGCACACATTGAGCTCACGCGGCTCTCTTGCTTGTGCCTTTGCACGCGCTGGTCTGGGCGTGAATAGAATACTTTTTCTGGTGCTTAAAAGCTGACGCGCATACTTAAAACAAACGACTTTCATTACATGTGCACCTACAGCGGGGTATGTAATACTTGTGTGCTTATGGTATATCACAATGTCATATCATGTATTTTACCATGCAAATGTGTTAGGGCGTCAGAGTTCATACCGCCAAAAATGACCTCTCCCCGCTGCTAAGGATTGGAGGGAAACCTCACTGGATCATCCGTCCCAAGATCCACGTGCCTTGGCCACTGCAAAGCTTGGGGCACCAAAGCAGTCAGGATAAAGGGCCCATGGCTGAGCTCATGAATTTCGAAATGAAGGGGCCATTGCTTCTGAGGCTCTTGGCCACGTGGCCAAACTGGCAAGACTTGAAAGTGCTTTGGCAAGATACAATTTTGACAAAAACATACAATTGGTTCATAGATGTCCCAAAATCAAATAACCACTTGCCCTGCTCTTACATGGTCTGAGCTTTAGTTGTATCAACCTTTCTCACAGCCACTGGCTTTAAGGAGAAAACCCGCGCTATGTGCACTGTTTCCATGATGAGGATGGAATGATGTGGCTAAAGCGTGCCTTGAACATCATCAGTTATCATTGAACATAACATGTTGAGTGCAGTGTGTCTTAAAAATGCATGGATGTGTTTGTTGTAGCTTAGGCATTTCTCTCAATGCCCACCAAAATCCACAAAAACAGCGGCGATATTGCATCAAATTGTCCAAGCTCAGGACTGAATTGTCTTGATGGCCATGTCATCAAAGTGCTTTATATGTTGTTTTTTGTTGCACGCTTGACATGTATGTGTGTGTGTGCCCATGCTTGGAGCGCTTAAATGCTTCTCTTCTCTAGGATGTTATCCATGAAATGGCGTGTGGCACAGCTCCTCTACAGCATTCTCGCATAAATCTGACAAAAGACGCAACTTTGACTTCAATGTGAGTTCATGAAACACTCTTGGCGTGAGCGCTGAGCATCCAAGGTTAAATGTCACGTCAGCACAGCGTGCGCTTTAGCAGTGGTCAAAAAGAGTGTGCCCAGTTGATGGATACTGTGTGCTCAGCGTGGTTAGCGTGGTTACGAATGTTGTGGCAAAGGCTAGTCTTTCTATCAAATCACGTGCAAAGGATACCCCTGGGACTCTCAGGGTATATATATATATATATTATTTATGAAAAGATCACTTTACATCTGCATCTGCATATAGATGTCAATAGTGAACCGGCATGTATGTGTCCGCAGACGCGCAACACGGTGACTGTCCGCAGACAATCGGCAGCGGTTATATAAGTGCCCGCCAACACTCAAAGGGGAGACTGTCCGCAGACAATCGGGACGAGTGTCCGCAGACACTATACAGGGGGACTGTCCGCAGACAGTGGGGGTGAGTGTCCGCAGACGCTCACATGGGGGGACTGTCCGCAGACAATCAGGGGAGGGGACTGTCCGCAGACAATCGGGGTGAGTGTCCGCAGACGCTCACATGGGGGGACTGTCCGCAGACAATCAGGGGGGGGACTGTCCGCAGACAATCGGGGTGAGTGTCCGCAGACGCTCACATGGGGAGATTGGACTGTCCGCAGACAATCAGAGGGGGGGACTGCCCGCAGACAATCGGGAAAGTGTCCGCAGACACTCAACGGGGGGACTGTCCGCAGACAATCGGGGTGAGTGTCCGCAGACGCTCAAAGAGGGGACTGTCCGCAAACAATCGACTGTGTCTATATAATATGTATTATATCGTGTGCATGTGCATGTGATATAAGATAATGCTATGAATATAAATAAATACATAAATAAATATATATATATACCCCGGCCTTGTCAGCCCCCATGGTGCTCTAAGTTGGTGCGCGGCCGAGCAACACGAGGGAAAAACGGCTGCGGACAAAAAGTTGAGTCATGAAGCCAGACCGGAACGGCTGTAAGGGCAAAAGAAAATGACGCTCCTATGGACAGAAGCAACCGAGTGACAGAACCATTTTTTCCTCCCATCTCATTTCAACGCTTGCAATCTGCAAGAAAGGCTTGTGCTTTCTGCACTACGGCACTGATAGCTTCTAAATCTGCACGTGCTAAACTTTCATCAAGCACATCCAGACTCGCAGCCTCCAAAAGTTGGATGAAGACCGTGCAACGATCTACCTCCACAGCCGCAGCCGTGCAGGCATGCAACCTCTCGAGAGTTGCAGATGTCAAGTGAGCCAAAACTTGATGCTCTTTATGCATAGCGCCATGCTCCGCAGAACATGTGTCTTTATCACGAGGTGTCCTAGGCGCTACAGACTCAGAGCTTACAGAGATGGCATCTGCAGCATCCAATGCCTGCTGCGATCTTTGCCACAAAGCAGGCAAAGTTTCCATTGTCATCTTCTCATGGCCTGCAAACCCAAGGCGAATCTCCACTTTGCTTCCCTCCGGATTAGTGCGCCAGGCAAACAAGTTTCTCATCCCTTGAACCAGAAAAAGCTATATTCTTATGACGCGTGAACATATCGATATTATATTCTCTTTAACCCATGTGCAAACCGACATGATGGAAATCTCCGTTCCTATGCCTCGGCTCCCATTTTGCAAGCCTGCACAAAATCAAAAATACATTCCCCTTCCGGCTGCCACTCAGACCAGCAGCTTGTAGCCACGCTTTGTCCAACAAGATGGAGTGCAACCAGGCCTGCCCCTGCAGCGCGAACAGCCGCATGGGAAAAGACGAACACTTTCAGCCCGAGTAATCTTAACCAAGGGCTTCTTTGCAGCTGCTGCAGGGCGTTTCATCTTCACCTGCTGGCTGCTCGCACTTGGCTTCTTCAAATTCTTCAACGGTTTGGCCACAGATTTCACCTGCGACCCCGCCTTGCCCTTTTGCGGTGAAGCATTTGGCCCCGTGCCCGCCTTGGCGCTCGCAGGCTTCCGCATTCCTTTGGCCGCAGGCTTCTTAGACACCGCAGTGTCCTCAGCACCATCTCCAACGCCACGACCATAGTGTGCCTTTGCCAAGTCTTCCACAGCAACTTCCAAAGCCAAAGGCTGCGAAGACGGCACCTGCTCCACTGCTTGTGGCACTGCAGGCGCAGGCAATGTGCCGTTCAATGGAGCGGCTTCAATCGGAGCCACAGGTTGTGCAACCTCGCTCGGTCCCACATATCCCGGCAAAGTTTCCGCCTGTGGCGCTGGCAATGCCAATTGGTTAACTGCAGTGGCCTGTGATCCTGCTGGTTCCCGCGCACGGTCCATCAAGGATTGCAACTGACCACTTTGCGTCGTCTCTGCCCTCGTTGCACGTGCAGCAGCAGCAGCTGCAACCTCCACACTAATGCTCGTGCAGCCTGCACAGCAGCGTGCTGAGTCATCATGGCTTGCGAAGCGCCAGTCAACGACAAGTGGCTCTGCAACCGCACCAATCGCACCCCAGTGTGCGTGCTCCTACATGGCCAGGCAGCAGCAGCTTGCCAAAACGGATTCAAATCCACAGGGGGATTAGGAGCGGTCCCTGCAAAAACCTGTTGTCTTATCTCCAAAGGCAAGGCGTCGAATTCATTCGGCAGCTGCTCCAAGTAGGGGCCTGGAATTTCCACGCCCTGCACCCTTGCGCGGGTGATTTTGCTCTTCAGCACGCTCTTGCATCTTGACAATAAAGTTGTCTGCCTGCTGACATCATCGGCCATGAAATCACCGCCGCACCCAGTCACCATGCATGCCACCAACGCTTGCGTGCGTTCGCTTGGGTGCCTCAAGCCCATCTTGACAAGGTGCGACACCAGTGCCTCAGCCTTGGGGAGGTGTCGCTGCTGGCCCCGCAAGGTCATCCACAGATCCTCCGGTATGAAAAGAGGAAAGCTGGTCCAATCCTGCATCCCAGCCCGCGCCACAGCTGCTCCCAAAGGAGCTTCCAAAGCCATGCCGCACAGCAGAAAACAAGCGAAATCAGCCTTGAGCACAAAATTCACTAAAACAACGCAAAAAACCATCAAATTTCAATCCTAACATATGATTTTGCCAAAAAGAGAAGAATTTTAAAGCTAACTTAGCTAACTTTTTTCTATCTTGTAACAGGGTTATGGGTTAACTTAACTTATAAATCGTTAACTTAATTATAACTTCAACATTGAGTTATCGGAGTTATAAAACTTATAACATATGTTATAACCTATGTTACGAGACTTATAACATATGTTATAACATGGGGGGCATGTCCTTGTAGCTAAGTTTTTATAAGTAGTTCATGTTGTTTCATAAAGCATAAGTAAAATTACATAGAAGTTACTTACAATACATAGGGTTTTCCAGGTTTCTGAAACAATGTTTTTATTTTTATAGGAAAACGTTTGGTTAATTGATTCAAAACTTGACATGACCATATCAAACTTATTTTTTGAACACGAACCTTTTGCATGGAAATAACAACAGTGAAATTATTTTGGGCAAAGAAAACGCTGGAAAGCACTGGAGTGCCAATGATATTTCGGCGTCCACAATTTTTTGAAGAAACATTTGCATACAGTATACATGTTTCTTTACACTGTCATTGCCGCGGCTCAATGAGCCGCGTTTTTACGCGTAATGGACTTTGAAGTTCAGTTTTTTCCATGTATATGGCACTGACTGACGGCGCTTCTGTTGTGACACATCGTGGTCAGCAAAAAAGGCAATCAGGTCCATGCAGGGACCCTTTTGTGTGCATTGGTTTTGTACAATTCGTAAATTCAATTTTAGTTTGCAAGTTACATAGCGGCTCATTGAGCCGCTTTCGAATGAAGTATGTTGATACTGTGATAGTGACAAAACTGTTCGTGTTAGATGTTGCAGCTGAAAGGTTTCATGTTGCAGTGCATGTTTTCAAACCAAAGCATACACAGTTGATGAACAATACATTTTGTTTACATAATTCATAGATTTTTTATATACATGATTTGTACACATTTTATACATTATTTATACATGTTTTATACGTGTATAACTCTTGTTTTTTTCAAATTTATACACGCATAATTCCATTTTTTTGGGTTTATACATGTATAATTTGGTTTCGTTTCAGGTTTATACATGTATAATTTGGTTTCGTTTCAGGTTTATACATGTATAAGTGCAAATTGGTTTTGATTTATACACTATTTATACACTCTTTATACACTGTTTATACATTATTTATTCGCTCTTTATACATTCTTTACGCACTCTTTTTACACTCTTTTATGCACTTTTTTTTAAACTTTGGCTTTGCTTTTTCAAAGAACTAGTTTCTGCATTAGTTGCAAACATTTTTACATATGTTTTTTCATGGTTTATGCACACTACTGTTTAAGCATATCTGAAGTCTTTCAAACTGTTGCTTCGTTTTTTCTTGACATCAGCTTCACACCAACCTGACATCAGGTGTTTTTGGAGGTTTGAGTAACCGATATTTCACTTCCAGGCTACCTGATCCTTGACCAAAAACAAAATTTTCACACATTGACTTGACAACGTGCAC